ACACTGCAGCAGAAGCAATCCTGCTTATTTTATGCCCTCGAGGGGTAAAATATACCCTTGAGGTGTGGGGTGTATCCACACCTTCATTAGCCAAACCAAATTCCAATATTCAGATCCAAACACTGATCTTTTGTTAAACCTTTTTTTAAACCTTTTTTTTACCTTTTTTTAAACCTTTTTCTTTGTTTTCAACACTGCAACAGAAGCAATCCTGCTTATTTTATGCCCTCAAGGGGTAAAATATACCCTTGAGGTGTATGGGGTATATCCACACCTTCATTAGCCAAACCAAATTCCAATATTCAGATCCAAACACTGATCTTATTCAGATCCAACACTGATCTTTTGTTAAACCTTTTTTTAAACCTTTTTCTTTATTTTCAACACTGCAGCAGAAGCAATCCTGCTTATTTTATGCCCTCGAGGGGTAAAATATACCCTTGAGGTGTGGGGTGTATCCACACCTTCATTAGCCAAACCAAATTCCAATATTCAGATCCAAACACTGATCTTTTGTTAAACCTTTTTTAAACCTTTTGTTTACCTTTTTTTAAACTTTTTATTTTATTTTCAACACTGCAGCAGAAGCAATCCTGCTTATTTTATGCCCTCGAGGGGTAAAATATACCCTTGAGGTGTGTGGGGTGTATCCACACCTTCATTAGCCAAACCAAATTCCAATATTCAGATCCAAACACTGATTAGTTTAACCACAACCTCCCAAAAAAAACTCACTTCCTTCTTAGCCTACAACACTGAGCTATCTTGGGTGTGTTATATTTTCTTCTGAGAGCTTATAGGAGCTGGCTTGAAGAAGAAAATATAATAAGGGTCAGGAAGATGGGGGTCAGCGTGGTATTTTCTGGGAAATCCTCCTGTCGGGACCTCTGGGTGACACAAGACCCTGGCAGGAGGCCAGAGACACTTGGAATTTCGATTTTAACCCATGGAGCAAATCACCAGCTCTGTGTGAAGAATGACAAGTCCCAGAAGTTTAAGTAGAGTGATAGTGAATTAATCACCGGGTGAAAAATGGAGTTTTGGGGGTTTTTTGTCTAGGAGGCAAGAGGAAGGGATTTGGGTGTTGTCCTTCTTCTTCCCAGCCTCCCTCTTCTGGGTGATGGTGGCACTCTTGGATTGGTGTAGAGTAGAAGCTGACAGTCTAACGTGGGAGATAGGAATTGGGAAATAATGATAAATAAAGTATAAAATGCGGATATTTGTGGTATAAAATGCAGATATTTGCAGTATAAAATGCAGATATTTGCGGTATAAAATGCAGATATTTGTAGTATAAAATGCAGATATTTGCAGTATAAAATGCAGATATTTGCAGTATAAAATACAGGCACCAGCCCAGGGGCGGGCAGCGTACCCGTGACAGAGCTGCAGAGCACAACTCTGCGGGTCTGAGAGAAAATATTTCAGATAATAGATAATAAACAACCTTGTGAGCCAGAGCCAAAGAATCCTGACTTTCTTTGACCAGGCTGGGTCATCCCGACAGCAGGAAACCCAAGAGCTCTTTGCCCAGGGTTCTCCTGGGAAGCTGAGAAGGCTCAGACAGAAATGAAAATTAAAATTATCTCGTTGTTTCTCCTGGGTTTTGATCCTTGGAGGTTGTTCAGCAGCTGGTCGTTGTTTGATTGGTGTCATGTGAATTGTTTTAAGTTAATGATCAGTCATGGTCCTGTTGTGTGGGACTCTGAGGGGTCAGTCACGAGGTTTTATTACTCATTCTTGTGAGATTTCTGATGTATCCTTTCTCTATTCTTTAGTATAGTTTTAGTATAATAATATATATAATATATAATATATAATATATAATATATATTATATAATATATAATATATATTATATAATATATATTAAATATGTTTATATATTATATATTATATACATAATATATAATAATACATTATATATTTATATATAAATATAGCCCAGCTCCAAACCCTCTCCCAAAGTCAGGAACAGCCCCTGGGCCAAGGGACAAGAGGTGTTTCAAGCTTCTGAGGGTTTTCTGCACAAAAAAACAACAAAAAAACAAACAAACATATTAAATTTCTATTTCTATTTCTATTTCTATTTCTATTTCTATTTCTATTTCTATTTCTATTTCTATTTCTATTTCTATTTCTATTTCTATTTCTATTTCTATTTCTATTTCTA